TGTATATAAAGATCCTCACTGTGTGTTTGGGCTCCTCCAGCTGCTGTCCCTCTCCCTCCTCTGGTGGAAGAAGACTTCGTTCCAGGTCAGTTTAACTTTTCTTTTCCTTTTTATCAAATGAACCACAAGTGATGATGAAACTTCACAGAACTAAACGATGCTTTAAAACTCAAAAGGATTATTTAGTACTTGTTCAGTAATCGTTGCACGATTTCTATTTCTATTGTTTATCTTAAATAAAAAAACTTCGTTAATCTCACTGTAACTGGTGCGTAACAGATTTTAATTCTCTTACAGACGATCCTCGAGACAGCACGCATCCATACGGTCGGTTAAACCTTAATGTCTGAAAACTTTTTCTAAATGTTCTTAGTTTCAGAATCATTTTCTCCTGCTGCTCGTTTATCCGTCTCTTTGTTTCAGAGGATGACGTCATCACCATCGACACCACAGGAGGTGAGTCGTCACAATGATATGACGTGGATCTTATTCACGGTCGCAGCAGCAGAGATGAAACTGTGATGAAGATTTACTTCCACTGATCGTTAGAAGAACTGTAAAGAAAAAACACTTGATGATGTTTCCTGTTGCAGTTTTGTTGGAGGAGACGCTGCCGGAGGAGAGCGTGGGTGAGTCAATCAATCCCAGACTGAAATCCTGATGGACGACTCGTCCAGAGTGATAAGACAAACAGAAATGACAGAAATCATCTCTAACGTCTACTTTGATTTTTTTGTTTGGCCCATGTCCCATCTGCTAACATGGAGGAGGAGGGGTTTCTAAACAATGAGACTTTAGCCTTGATATTTACTTTCTGTTTTCTTCTGCAGTGACGTCTGGACAGTATCTGACCAGCTCTAAACTCTCCCAGGAAGCAGGTACAGTGTGATCTAAATGTTCCAGCTTCTCACTGACGTCTGAATCCACGCGTGGATATAAAAGTGTTTCTCAGTAAACAGAGGAACAAACTTCTGTTTGAACAGTTTTAACAGGAAACGACATCGACAAACGTGGACAGGAGACGTCTCTGTGTCCTTGAATTCTCTGACTTTGTTCTGGAAAGTTCTGGAAAAGTCTCTGACCTCATTCACTTTTTTTTTCTTTTTTTTGTTCTTGAACCGACTGAAGCAGAGAAACAAGAACCTGAGAGTGAGAAGCTCAAAGAGACCGAGAGCATCACAGAGGGTGAACACACACACACACACACACACACACACACACACACACACACACACACACACACACACACTGTGGAGAGCAGAGCGCCCTCTGCTGCTGACTTTGAGCCATGCACACTGTTTACATCCAGCCAAACACACATAGAGAGAGACTGAAGAACAGAGCGAGTCTCCTTCAAGTGTTAAACTCTGTGTTTTCATCTGTGGCAGAAACAGCAGAGAAACAGACTCAGGACAAACTCCAAGAAAAAGGTGAAGACAGAGAACTGAAGATGAGATCACTCACAGAACGAGTTTTATTCCTCCTTTTCAACTTCTTCTCCACCTCTCTCTCCCTCCCTCTCTCTCTCTCTCTCCCTCCCTCTCTCTCTCTCTCCCTCCCTCTCTCTCTCTCCTCCAGCCAAGAAGAAAAAACCAAAACTGTTGAATAAGTTTGATAAAACCATTAAAGCAGAGATCGATGCAGCAGAGAAGCTTCGCAAGAAGGTAGAGACGTGACACTGACACGAGAGGAGACGCTCACACTCACTGCTGATGTAGAGGACACGCTAAACCTCAGAGGGTCCACTTCCTCTGTCTTTGTCCCTGTGTGTGTGTGTGTGTGTGTGTGTGTGTGTGTGTGTGTGTGTGTGTGTGTGTGTGTGTGTGTGTCAGGGGAAGGTGGAGGAGGCGTTACGAGTCTTCGAGGCCCTGGTGCAGCAGTATCCACAGAGTCCCCGCGCTCGCTATGGAAAAGCTCAGGTGCTGCTCTGAACATCAGCTCCACGCGGTGACGCGTCGCCTGAACGTGCGTTAACACTGATGTTGACTTGCAGGCGGAGGACGACGTGGCCGAGAAGCTGCGCAGTAACGACATGCTGCAGAGAGCCATCAACAGCTACAGAGAGGCGGCCGAGCTCCCTGACGTGACCCCTGACCTCCTGAGGGCTGCGCTGAAGAGACGAGCTGAGAGGCAGCAGTTCCTGGGTAACAACACTGACCCGACTGTAGACACTGATATAAAGTCACATGGTCACACAGACGTAAACATCACGACTGACACGACTGTCGACGCTGCATCACAGTGACTGATCGGCAGCGCCCCCTGCAGCCACATGTGGGGATTAGCTCTGTTGATGAAGTGTTTCCATGTGAAGAGTGAATCCATGAGTTGTGACTGTCTGAACGGAAACACAGGTCAAAGGTCACGGCGACCTCATGAGAGTCCGAGTCATTACTTTCTGTCTCCGTCTCTCAGGACGGATGCGAGGGTCTCTGGCGACTCTGGAGAAGTTGGTTCAAATATTTCCAGACGACGTCAGTCTGAAGAACGACCTGGGCGTTTCCCACCTGTTGCTAGGAGACAACAAGGGCGCCAAGAAGGTGTATGAGGAGGTGTGTGTGTGCGTCGGCTTCTTTAAACTCTGTCTGGTTGTTTTTCACCGATTGGCTGTCGGCCGTCTGTGTCCCGCCCCCACAGGTCCTGGAGGCTGCCCCCGGCAACGGCTTCGCTAAAGTTCACTACGGCTTCATCCTGAAATCTGAGAACAAGATCGCAGAGAGTATACCCTACCTGAAGGTACACACACACACACACACACACACACACACACACACACACATCATCTCGTCATCACGTCTTTTCTCCTCAGGAGGGTTTGGAGTCGGGTGAACCAGGGACGGACGACGGGCGTTTTTATTTCCACCTGGGAGACGCTCTGCAGAGAGTCGGAGACGACAGCGTGAGCAGCCTCATTAACAAACAACCTGATCTTTTCTTCTCTGATGTTAAAATGTTTGAGCTGCAGCTGTGCAGCCCTGCAGTGGTATCTATTGACCACCGGGTGGTGCCAGAGTGTGATGAGCTCATTGAGACTGTTTCCTGTCGTCAGGCGTATCACTGGTACGAGCTGGGTCACAGGCGAGGTCACTTTGCGTCGGTGTGGCAGAGATCGCTGTACAACGTGAACGGACTGAAGGCTCAGCCCTGGTGGACGCCAACAGAGACGGGATACACCGATCTGGTCAAGGTGTGTGTCTGTGTCTGTGTCTGTGTGTTAGTGTGTCTGTGTGTGTGTCTGTGTGTCTGTGTGT